GGGTCACTATGAGTCGGAACTGACTCGGTGGCACCTAACAACAACAACGGGCAAGTACATAAAGATTAGGGTTTATTAGTGGTTATCAGGGGCTGGGAATATGGGGAAATGGGGAGTTACTGCTTAAGGGGTGCTGAGTTTCTGACTAGGGAGATGGAAAACATATGGAAATGGACAGTGGTGATTATTATACAACATGATAAATGGAATTAATGTCATTAAACTGTACACTGAAAAATGGTAAGTGTTTTGTTATATACATTTTACCACAATTTAAAAAAAAAAAGAAAAAAAAAAACTTCCAAGCTGTTTTCCAAAGTGGTGTACCATTTTTCATTCCCACAAATGGTATAAGAGTTCCAGTTCCTCCACATCCGTGCCAACACTTGGTTTGGTCAGTCTTTTTAATTTTAGCCATCCTTGTGGGTATGAAGTGGTATCTCATTGTGGTTTTGATTTTGTATTTACCTAATGACTAATGACGTTGAGCAGCTTTTCATGTGCTTATTTCCCCCATCTGTATCTCCTCTTTTGTGAAGTATGTGTTCAAATCTTCTGCCTGTTTTTTTAATTGGGATGTTAATTAGGTAAACCTAACATTGGAATTCCATCATAGCATCACCATTATAATAGTAGCTGAGCTTGGCACTTTATATACATTATTTTATTCAAACCTCGCAACAATCTTTAGGTATGTATCATTCCTATTTTACTAATCAAGAAACTGAGGCTTAGATAGGTTAAATAAATTCCACAATAATGCCACACAACTAGTTAGTGGCAGAAATGGAATTCAAGTCACCTCTAACCATGCTCTTCACCACTATATAATACTATGGTCCATGAAGTTTTTCTAAACCACAGCCTTCCTTGCTAAAATGCTAACCTTAGATTGTGCAATCTAAAGCACTTGCATCTACAACCCTGTCCAAGGTTTTCCTCCATCAATATGGAATATTTCCACCAAAGTTCTGATTATTACTTTATACTTACCTGCTTTACCCCACATGAGCAGTGGTGAAGAAATCGGTGCTGGGTGATCTCATTAAATGCTTTGTGCAGTTTGGTTCCAAACTCTCGTGTGTCGGTTGCCTAAAATGGGCCAGAGACAGAATGCGGTGAGTTCCAGTACTGGAGACCAAGGGGGAAGTACCCTTAGGAAGTTAATAAGGGGAGAGGATGAGGCAGATAGGAAGGGACCCCCTGATATCCTGCAGGCTGGGAGCAGTTTCTTTAGTCCCTGTGGAGGCAGGAGAAGTAGAAAGAAGGCCTGGGACATGTGGCATGAGACAGGTAATTGTGACTTCTAGATGTCTTTCCGTTTCTGTCATCTAAGCAAGACCTTTCAAACAAGGTCTTTATTTCCCTATCTCTACAGGAGATATACCCCACACATCTGTTAGCTTGTTATACTGCAGGGGCTTACGTGTTGCTGTGATGCTGGAAGCTATGCCACCGGTATTCAAATACCAGCAGGGTCACCCATGGCAGACAGCTTTCAGCTGAACTTCCAGACTAAGACAGACGAGGAAGAAGGACCTGGCGATCTACTTCTGAAAAGAATTAGCCAGTGAAAACCTTATGAATAGCAGCAGAACAGTTTCTGATGTAGTGCTGGAAAATGAGCCCCTCAGGTTGGCGTTGGATTCATCATCAAAGAACATTTTAAGATCTACCCTGAAGTACAACGCTGTCAGTGATAGGATTGTATCCATACACCTACAAGAAAGACCAGTTAATAAGACTAATACTCAAATTTATGCTCTAACCACTAGGGCTAAAGATGTAGAAATTGAAGTTTTTACCAACTTCTGCAGTCTGAAATTGATCGAATACACAATCAGGATACATTGATAATTACTGGCAATTGTAATGTGAAAGTTGGAAACAAAGAAGAAGGACTGGTAGTTGGAAAATATGGCCTTAATGATAGAAACCATGCCGGAGATTGCATGATAGAATTTTGTAAGACCAACAACTTCTTCATTGCAAATACCTTTTTTCAACAACATAAATGGTGACTATACACGTGGACCTCACCAGATGGAATATATAGGAGTCAAATCGACTACATCTGTGGAAAGAGACGATGGAAAAGCTCAATATCATCAGTCAGGACAAGGCCAGGGGCCGACTGTGGAACAGACCATCAATTGTTCACCTGCAAGTTCACGTTGAAGCTGAAGAAAATTAGAACAAGTCCACAAGAGCCAAACTACGACCTTGAGTATATCCCACCTGAATTTAGAGACCAACTCAAGAACAGAATTGACGCGTTGAACACTAATGACCGAAGACCAAACGAGTTGTGGAATGACATCAAGGACATCATACATGAAGAAAGCAAGAGGTCATTAAAAAGACCGGAAAGAAAGAAAAGACTAAAATGGATGTCAGAAGAGACTCTGAAACTTGCTCTTGAACACAGAGTAGCTAAAGCAAAAAGAAGAAATGATGAAGTAAAAGAGCTGAACAGAAGATTTCAAAGGGCAGCTCAAGAAGACAAAGTAAAGTATTATGATGACATGTGCAAATACCTGGAGTTAGAAAACCAAAAGAGAAGAATACGTGCAGCATTTCTCAAGCTGAAAGAACTGAAGAAAAAATTCAAGCCTCGAGTTGCAATACTGAAGCATTCTACGGGCAAAATACTGAATGACAGAGTAAGCGTCAAAAGAAGATGGAAGGAATACACAGAGTCACTATACCAAAAAGAATTGGTTGACATTCAACCATTTCAGGAGGTACATTATGATCAGGAACTGATGGGCTGAAGGAAGAAGTCCAAGCTGCACTGGAAAGCACTGGTGAAAAACAAGGCTCCAGGAACTGATGGAATACCAATTGAGATGTTTCAACAAACAGATGCAGCGCTGGAAGTGCTTATTCGTCTATGTGAAGAAATCTGGAAGACAGCTACCTGGCCAACCAACTGGAAGAGATCCATATTTATGCCTATTCCAAAGAAAGGTGAACCAACTGAATGTGGAAATTATCGAACAATATCATTAATGTCGCACACAAGTAAAATTTTGCTGAAGATCATTTAAAAGCAGCTGCAGCGGTACATCGGCAGGGAACTGCCAGAAGGTCAAGCCAGATTCAGAAGAGGACATGGACATGAGGGATATCATTGCAGATGTCAGATGGATCCTGGCGGAAAGCAGAGAATACCAGACAGATGTTTACCTGTGTTTTATTAACTATGCGAAGGCATTCGACTGTGTGGATCATGACAAATCATGGATAACATTGTGAAGAATGGGAATTCCAGAACACTTAATTATGCCCATGAGGAACCTGTACATAGACCAAGAGGCAGTTGTTCAAGCAGAACAAGGATATACTGTGTGGTTTAAAGTCAGGAAAGGTGTGCATCAGGGATGTATCCTTTCACCATGCTTATTCAATCTGCATGCTGAGCAGATAATCTGAGAAGCTGGACTATATGAAGAACAGGGCATCAGGATTGGAGGAAGACTCATTAACAATCTGCATTATGCAGATGACACAACCTTGCTTGCTGAAAGTGAAGAGGACTTGAAGCACTTACTGATGAAGGTCAAAGACTACAGCCTTCAGTATGAATTACACCTCAACATAAAGAAAACAAAAATCGTCACAACTGGACCAATAAGCAGCAAGCATCATGATAAATGGAGAAGACTGAAGTTGTCAAGAATTTCGTTTTACTTGGATCCATAATCAACATCCATGGAAGCAGCAGTCAAGAAATCAAAAGACACACTGCATTGTGTAAATCTGCTGCAAAAGACCTATTTCAAGTGTTCAAAAGCACCTTGAAGACTCAGGTGCACCTGACCCAAGCCATGGTGTTTTCAATTGCCTCATATGCACGAGAAAGCTGGACAATGAATAGGGAAGACTGAAGAAGAATTGACGCGTTTGAATTATGGTGTTGGTGAAGAATATTGACTGCCAAAAGAATGCACAAATTTGTCTTGGAAGAAGTACAGCCAGAATGCTTCTTAGAAGCAAGGATAGTGAGACTGTGTTTCACATACTTTGGACACGTTATCAGGAGGGATCAGTCCCTGGAGAAGGATGTCATGCTTAGTAAAGTAGAGGGTCAGAGAAAAAGAGGAAGACCCTCAACGAGATGGATTGACACAGTGGCTCCAAAAATGGGCTCAAGCATAACAATGATTGTCAGGATGGCGCAGGACTGGGCGGTGTTTCGTTCTGTTGTACATGGTGTTGCTATGAATCAGAACCGACTCGATGACACCTAATAACAATATCACAGGGGATAAACACCCCAGAAATCCTTCATGAAGGGGTTATGTAAGCTACTCCCCTCTAAAACAAATCCAAGAGAACAGAGGTTCCACTGAATGACTGAGACTGATGTGAGAACTTACCCTTAGGCAAGCTTTTTAGGGAGGAAAGCAGCAAATCAATACAGTTTGCACCCATAGGGAATGAGTAACAACCTTCTACTCTTTAATATAGAACTGTAGGATATAAGAGTTCAAGAGGATCAGAGCAATCACCTGGGTGAATGCCTGGGTGGCACAAACAAGTGCTTGGCTACTAACGAAAGGAGTCACCTTGGAAGAAAGGTCTGACGATCTACTTCTGAAAGCACACCATTGAAAACCCTGTGGAGCACAGTCCTACTCTGACACATAGGGGGTCACCATGAGTCAGAATCGACTTGACAGCAACTAGTCAGGTTTGGGTTTTTTTTGTGTTTGCTAGGATATGAGAGTTAAAAGGAATCAGATCAATTATCTAATACAACACACTAATTTATAGATGGGAAAACTAAAATTGAGAAATGAGTAGTGACTTACCCAAGATCGCACAGCTAGTTAGTACAAATGTTAGGGCTATAACGCAGACCTCAGGATTCCCAGCATAGCGTTCTCACTACCCACATGACCCAAGAAGTAGAAGCTATGATAAAACGCACTAACCAATAAAAGTATTCATACTGTTTGACCCATTAACTCCACTTATAGAAATTTATTCTAGGAGATAATTCAATAGAAGCAGGATATCACAAAAAGACATTAACTGAAGCATCATTTATTACAGGGGGTCGGGGGAGGAACCACAAACAGCTTAAATGTCCTACATTAGGGGAATGGTTTATTAAATTAGCCTAAACCAACACAGTGGAATATTGGGTAAACAATTACAAAATTCTAAGACTGTTGAAACAGGGAAAAATGCCAAATTATATATGGAAATAGAATACTTTGATTATAGATAATATACATATGAGAGAGATAATATGAAAAATTAAAATTATAGTAATAAAGTTTATTAATTACTCTTTTAAGTTTTGTATGTGTTGTACTATGTTTTCAAGAAAAAAAGTACAGAAAAATGAACCAACTGATACGGAATCAATGGGTTAAAACACTGAAAATACCAATCAGCACACACTGCTAAAATAAACAAAAGGAAGGAACATTTACCAATAACTGACCGTGTGCCATGCACTTATAGCCCTGGGAGGTACTATTATTTTTTCCAATTTATAGATGAGGCTCAGAGAAGCAGAGGCCTAAGTCTACATAATAAAGCAAGATTTGAGTCCAAGCATTTGATTCCAAAACTCTTTACACCATTCCACACTGCAAAATATATATAGTATTGTGGTTGCTCAGTTATTTCTAAAGTATTCTGTTGCCATGAGGTGGTAGCAGAACATCCTCTGACCAGGAATTGGAATCACTGCTCTTATCCTAGCTCTGGTCTTAACTAGCTGTGTGATCTAAAGGAAGTAGAAACCTTAAATAGCTTGTTTTCTCATTTATAAAATAGTAAACACGCCACTATTCATTCAACAAATATTTTAAAAACACTTACCACAGGCCTAGTACTACATAGGGTCAGAGTAGGATCTGATGAAATAATGTTTCTGAAAGCACTCTACATATTACTAAGAAGGGAACTAGAATGTCATTCGAATCTTGGCACTTTTAAGCATCCCCAACCTCCTCCTAACCTGAAAGGCCTGGAGACACATCTTTCGGAAGCTGCTGTTGGTGCTTCCAGTAACAACACTCATGATGGAATTCACAGCCACAGCATGGAAGGCCTGCAGTTTCTGATGAGCCTGGAGAACATAAAAAAGAGGAGGGGACTGTATTTTACAGCACAACAATCCCAATGTGCTGGCTCAGAAGTCCCTAAAAAGGCTGCGGTGAGATAGATCACTCTTGTGTGACATTTCTCACCATGGTCTTGTAACCCCCATCCAAGTGATTGGGTGGGACTGTGCAAATAAGGCAATTGTGGCCCACCAAGGGGATTGGTCAGTTTTGCCTTAAAATTCCAGAGCAGAGAGAGGATCCCACCACCACCAAGGAAGATAGCCAGAAGCCGGAGAGTGCGTCCTTTGGACCCAGGATCCCTGTTTTGAGAAGCTCCTGGACCCAGGAAACAGAAAGCGAGCTATAACCCTGAAGACGGTGAGAAGCGGTGACAGAAGACCACGCAGTGGGCTTCCTGGCCCATGGAGGGAGAATGCTGAGTGCCTTTGGGCCAAAGCTTCCTGGTAGAGTGGGGTGCCTCTGGGCATTTATTGGCAGGGGCTAAAAGAGCTTTGTAAGACTTGCCTGAGTAGGGCAGAGGCCTAGGGCCAGAGAGAGGAGTACCTGTGAGCACAGCTGAAAAGAGGCTGTCCTGATGGAAGAACTGTATCCTGAGTGTTCCTGAGCCTGAATTGTAACATGTTACTTCCCTAATAAACCCCATAATTGTGAGTATTGTCTTTGAGTTGTGTGTGGCCATTGCAATGAATTGTCAAACCCAGCAGAGAAGTAGAGTACCGTCTGAGGGACGGTTGGCGTCAGAAATGGTAAAGATGGCGGAGAGAGGAAGCACGTCTGACCTCTGCCTCATAGGAATCAGCCTTGGGCTGTTGATCTTGATTCACCTTCCCTCTAGTGAAGAGAAAGGAGGTCAGACTCCGCCCCTACACCATTTTTACAGAGGCCAAAGATTTCAGCCAGAGGATTTCAACACTTCTTCCTCTTCCACCAACAATACTTACTGAGATTATAGCATATAAAGGACATTTAGGTCTTGAAATAAAGAAATGTTCTCTCCTTTCATAGAGATGATGTATTGACACAGACACATCCAGAAAAGACAAGCAAAAAGAGACTGGGCAATAAAACAGTTACTATCTAAAAACCAAAACCTTCATATTTTGCTCTTTTAATGTGGTTGTTTTTACCCTGGAAAGGGGACGATATGATGTAAGAAATGTGCTC